GTTAGAAAGTATAATAATGGAATATTTCAACGATGTAGAACAGTTCTCTTTATTTGTGCTGTCCAGTATGGTAGCCATTAGTTACATACTCTATTGAGCATTTAACATGTGGTCAGTATAACTGAGGAACTAAACTTTAAATTAAAAAATGTATTATTGTAAATGTATGAGTGGGCTTTAAAAGAGTTCATGGAAAGATTACATTATCTTTTAATTCCATTTTCCCACAAACTTTTTGAAGCCTTCATATACCTAGCGAAGCAAACATCAGTTCAACTGTTTTTACATGTATAGCAGTTACATTCTTCAAGTTATATAGCCATGCTCACCTTCCTTTTCTCAGTTGTCCCTCTACTATTAACATAAATTCACTGCCCCGTGAGGTGCCTATCTTTCCAGCTGCTGTTGTTCAGTTTGATCCTATATAGATTTTTCTTAAAAGAGTGTAATGCTCAAGGCAGACATTGTTTTTCTTCTTTTACTATTTAAGCTCAACTGTTGTTCGGTTGTAAGAAGATTTATGGAGGTATTTTTGGTTTAAGGTTTAAAGTTTATCTCAGGGCAATAGTTTGAGGGATTCATCCAGCCTTCATGATCACAGGAAATATGTGTTCCATGATAATTTGAAATTCTGTTATGTATTCCCCCCTTGAATCATGATTCTTTAGAGTCTTTAATCAAAATGCTCAGTAATGGTAGCAAGGCACCATCTTATTCTTCTGGTCTCATGGCAAAGGAGGCAGTTGTTCATGAAGGCAATTAACTTTACGGCCCATATCCTCCTTCTGTTTTTGACTGTTCTTCCTGTTGCTCCAGGTGAATAGATACTAATTGTCTTGCCTTGGATGACCGCTTATAAGCTTTTAAGACCCCGGGCCGGCAACAAACTAGGGGGTAGAACAGAAACACTAAACATGTTATTAGATCAATTAAACTGAGATATCCCATGAAACCAAACTAAGGAACCAAATCCCATGAGGTGTTTGGTTGTACATAAGCATAAGCAGCATTAGCAGCTACTCTTTTTTTGTTATTGTTGTACTATCACATAAATTTTGATAGTTAAGGTTGTTACTGTTGTACAACTTATTGACAGCAATTACAGCAATCAGTTGTGCAGCCTTACCCTAAATCAATGGGATTTTTCTGTCACCATTTGCCCCCTTTCCCCTCTCCTTCCTACCCCTAGTAACCACTAAGAAGTGTTGTTCTCAATACATTAGCACTTTGTCTTTATATGAGGTTATACAATACTGTATTTGTCCTTTTGTGATTGACTTATTTCACTCAATATCTTTCAACTCCATCCACCATATTGTAGCAGGTGTCAGGACTTCATTTCTCTTACTGGCTGAGTGATTATTCCATTGTATGTATGTACCACATTTTGTTTATCTATTCACTTGCTGATGGGCATTTTGATTGTTTCTACCTTTTGGCTCTTGTGAGTAGTGCTGCAGTGAACATTGGTGTACAAGTCTCTTTATTGTTGAGTCTCTGCTCTTATATCTTTTAGGTATAAACCTAGGAGTAGAATTGCACCGTCATAGGTAGTTCTGTTTTTCTCAATGACTGTACCATTTTGCATTTTCACCAGCAATGTTTTTCTGCATCCTTTCTAACATTTGTTGCTTTCTTTTGTTTGTTTGTAATCTTAGCCATTCTGTTGTTGTTAAGTGCTGTTGAGTAGGTTCTGACCCATAGCAACCCTGTTTACGGTTTCCAAGGAGCGACTGGTGGGTTTGAACCACCAACCTTGTAGTTCAAACTGACCTTGCAGTCCAGCGCATTATCCTGCAGTGCGACACCAGGACTCCTGGAACCATTCTAGTGAGAGTGAAATGCTATCTTATTGTGGTTTGATTTTCATCTCCCTGATGGCTAATGACACTGAGCATCTTTTCATTTGTTTCAATGTCCTGTTTAGTAAAACCTGTTTAAGGCCTTTGTCCATTGTATAATTGGGTTGTCTTTTTGTTGTTGAAGTTTTATATGTATTTTGGTTGTGTGGTTCTTATTGGAATATCATTTACAAAGGTATTCTACCAGTTGGTAGCTTGTGTTTTTCCTTTTTTTAATAGTCTTGATGAACAAAAGTTTTAAATTTTTGAGGTAATTTTAAAATTTAAATAAAATGTAAGTTAATTATAAAGTAAATTAAAATTTTATGTAAGATTTAATTTATATTAAAAACAAATTTAAGTATATATAGAAGCAGAAAGGAAGTATGGTAACTCCATACGATAAGCACTGGACTGTGAACCACAAGGTCTGTGACTCGAACCCGCCAGCCACTTCCTCCCTGGAAAGATGAGGCTTTCTGTTTCTGTGAAGATTTAAAACTTTGGAAACTCTATAGAGAGTCTCTATGAGTTGGAACCAACTCGATGGCACTTAACAACAGCAACAACAGAAGCAGAAAGATGTTTACCTGTGCTTTATGGATTATGCAGAGAGGCCCTCAACTGTATGGATCATGACAAGCTCTGCGTAACATTTCAAAGAATGGATATTCCAGAACATTGCCAAGGTGTTTATGAAGAACCTGTACGTAGACCAAGAGTCAGTTGTTTGAAAAGAACAAAGGAATACTTTGGTTTAAAATCAGGAAAAGTGTGTACCAGGGTTGTATCCTTTCAACATACTTACAATCTGTGGCGTTCTGGTGTGGTGCTATAGGATAAACACTAGACTGCTAACCTCGAGGTTTGCTGTTCAGACCTACCAGCAATTCCTTGGAAATCCTGTACAGGCTCACTGTGAGTCAGAACTGACTTAATGGCACTTAACAACAACAACATTCAATCTGTATGCTGAGCAAATAATCCAGGAAGCTTGATTGTATGCTGAAAGCCAAGAGGACTTAAAATATTTACTAATGAAAATCAAAGACCAAAACCTTAAGTACAGGTCACACGTTATTGTAAACAAAACAAAAATCCTCGCCACTGGACCAGTGTAAATAGCGTCATGATAAATGGAGAAAAGATTGAAGTCGTTAAAGAGTTCATTCTGCATGTATCCACTATCAGTTCTCATGGAGCAGCAGCAAGAACTCAAACATGTTGCATTAGGCAAATGTGCTGCACCACACACACTTTTTTAAAATGTTCAAGAGCAAAGATACCAGTTTGAGGACTAAGGTATGCCTGACCCAAGCCATGATATTTTCAGTAGCCTTATATGTATGTGAAAGTAGGACAGTTAATAAGGAAAACCATAGAAGAATTGATGCATTTGAGTTTTGGTGTTGGAGAATATTAACAGTACCATGGACTGCCAGAAGAACAACCCACTAATACGTTGAAAGAAGTACAGCCAGAATGCTCCTTAGAAACCAGGATGGCGAGACTTCTTTAGTCATACTTTGGACATGTTTTCAGGAGGGATCAGTCCCTGGAGAAGGATATGTTTGGTGAAGTGGAGGGTCAGCGAAAAATAGGAAGGATTGACACACTGGCAGTGGCAATGGACTCAAGCATAAAACAATTGTGAGGATGGTACTGGACTGGGCAGTATTTTGTTCTGTTGTGCCTAAGGTCACTGTGAGTCAGAACTGACTCAACAGCACCTAACACTAACAACAGAAGCTAAAGATCCATAATTTTGTGTTTTTGTATCCTGTGTTATGCATGGAAAAGGGATCTATAGTGGCTAGTTGGCAATTTGACCTGTAAGAAGTTTCAGCCTCTTTTTCTCAGTGATAAAGGGAGTGGGTAGAGTAAGCAGTGTGTGTATATTAATTAAAAGAACTGCAGGTAGTGTGGCAAGACCTGGGGACTCTTGGGCCCAGAGTCAGTGACATAGCCACAGAGGACTAGAGTGGAGAGTGAAGTGTCCAGCTGATAAGAAGAGAGGGCATATGCATAAGAACACCCACACTTGCAGATAATACCCACTTATCCTGGCTTCAGTGACTGGATGATCAGAGCTCAACCAGAAGTAAAAAGAAGAGGAAAAAAAAAAGTATTCTCATACAATTTGATGAACTTGACCTACACCTATGGAAGCAGTAGCTCAAAAGAGGGAACAAGTCCTTACAGCAAGAATCATTCCCACCCCCTCCACACACAGAGTAGACAGGGATGGGCATCTTGGACATTGGCTACCCAAAATTGGGGACGGGGGGGCTACAAAGGCAAGAAGTGACTGGCTTACAAGCTCTCAAGAGGGAACCTAGATCCAGAGAGCCTGGAGGAAGGTAGAATCTCCAGTGAGTAGTATTCAATCTGTCTAGGCGGGGTTGGTGCAATGAAATGCAGACTGGTCTCTTGTGATACAATATTGAATAATTATTATCAGGACTGATTGTGAGGGTTGGAAATGTAAAGGTAGACGTTTTATAGAAAGGAGGGGAGTGATTAACTTTTCAGTCTAGGAGCTGAGGTCCCTAGGACCATCAAGGGAGAAGAGCAGAGAGCGGGACCGTACCCAGAGAAGCAGTGATGCCTAAAATGGAGCCAGAGATGATGACGTGGAGCGATGGAGCAGCTGGAGACTTTAGATCCAGAGAGGGAGAGCGACTGTGTGCTGAAGACCTGGGGGCTTACGGGGGGAAGGATTGCATGGAGGGGATTGTAACCATGGCAATGAGAGACAATATACGATAGAATGAATGTAAAACTAATGTTCTCCCATGTAAACTATCACATAATTCACAATAAAACATTAAAAAACAAACAAACAAAAAATGCAACAGATAATTATTTTCAAGAATATCCATTCTGTTTGAAAAGAACTGTCAGTATTTGAGTACTGGTCATGTCCCTGCATCAACTATCCTTGACTCTAACTACTTAACTCTTTCCTTTGTCAAGAATAAATTACTGTCAATCCCCCCCCCCAAAAAAAAGAACTGCAGGTATATATCCTTGCATGTGTATATGTTTCTTTCAAGTTCAGTGGCTTATCAAAGCTGTCTCACTAAAGAAAGAATTATCTGTTGAGAGTTTGGACTATATTCTTAGGCTTACCACAGTTTTCCTCTTTCTCTTTTGTAGACGCTGCATTCAAGTAGTACATAAACTCCTTTGCTACCAGAAGAAGTGTAGAGTACGTCTTCATTACACCTGGCGGGAACTCTGGTCAGGTAACTTACTCTTGAACTAATTCTCTCTTCCTGTAGGCCTGGGCTCAAGATACATTTTTAAAAGTCGGTGTAGTTTGTTTAGGATGCTTCTTTTTTCACTTACACTTTTCGTCAATTTTGACATTTCAGCCTGTTTCGAATTCACACCTGGATAAGTCACATACTTATTCCTTATTTTCCCTCCTGTTTCTTCTCCTCCCTCTATTTTCTGTCATTCAGATGAAAACAATTGAATACTTCTTGAGTTTCCTTGAGAGGGAGATAAGGAGTCAGTACAAACTTGGATTCTCCCTCTGTTCCATTTGGTAGCAGTATATGGACTATCAGGAGATTTCTGTGTGTTTCCTCAAGAAGAGTAATCTCAGGAGGAACGTCATAGGGCGAGGGGGCTGGGGTTGGAGGTGGGGTGATGGGGGGAATCCTGTTCTTTGTGTTACATCTGGCATTATTACTGTTTACAGACAGTGTCGGTTGTACCACTCCCCCTGTGCTAGAGACAAAAACAGCAAATTACAGTGTTTACTTTTGTCTTCTTATACATTTGGTAGCCCAGTAAAGTCACTGCCACCCCTGCAGGCGGGAAGTGGCTCTTCTCTAAGGGTGCAATTACTGCTGGCTTGCCACCCCTTTCTTTTGTGTGACTAAATTGGAGGTTTCAGGAAAGCAAAGGAGACATGCTTCCTGAGGCAGCCACTTGCTGATGGGTCCTGTGGCTTTTGTGACCTGATGGTACAATAAAATTTTCTCCAGAAGATTATAGTGATGAATGGTTGCCACACCCATGGCAGGGCTTCTCTGTATTCTCAGCAGAGAGGGGGGCGTGTTAGCATCAGAGTCTTTATAAGAAACAGACCAGCACCCCAGCCCCTTTCCATGGAATTCATCTTGCTTGTTGTGACACATGGTTTCCTCCCAACCCAATTTGGCTTTCTAAATTTAGTCCTTCATAATGGGAAGTAGAGATCTTTAATTAATGGATTAGCAAGTTCTGTGCAGTTACTGCCTAGGGTGGTGAATGGAGAGTCAGAGAATAACACTAAGTGGCAGAAGTGGTATTTTGCTATTTTAGGAGAGAAAAGTATGTTTTGTGCTTGTGTGAGAGTTTGAGATTGAGGGATGTCAGAAGAGTTTAGGAGAGATCAAAAGAGATTACAATGACAAAAGTTAGATATTTTAAAACCAAAAAACCCCCAAACCTGTTGTTACCAAGTCAATTTCGACTCCTAATGACCTTGTAGGACAGAGTAGAACTGCCCTACATTGTTTCCAAGGTGATAATCTTTTCTGAAGCAGACTGCCTCATCTTTTTTTCGAGGAGCAGCTGCTGGGTTTGAACTGCTGAACATGTCAGTCAACAGCTGGGTTTTTAACCACTGTGCCACCAGGACTCCTTAGAAGCTTTTGTTGTTGTTATGTGCCATGGAGTCGGTTCCGACTCATAGCAACCCTATACAGGATTTCCGATGCTGTAAATCTTTATAGCTGGTAGTTTCGAACTGCTGACCTTCTGGTTCACAGCCCGATTCGTAACCACTACACTACCAGAGCTCCTTAACAGAAGTGATCCAGGTGAGGATCGAATTCACAACCTCGACATTGCTCCACTTGCACTGTCATATAAGTAAGTACCACGCGCTAACCGATTGCACCACTGGAGCTCCATAGAAGCTTTTAGACAGCAGCAGTTCTTTTTAATATAAATGTCTGCTGTTGTCAAGGATCCCTGGTGGCCCTGTAGGATAAGCACTGGACTACTTACCACATTGTCAGTGGTTCAAATCCACTAGCAGCTCCACAGGAGACAAATGAGGCTGTCTATGTCCATAAAGATTTAGTCTCTGAAACCCTGTATTGGGTCACTATGAGTCAGAATTGACTTGATGGCAGTGGATTTTTTGGTCTTTACTGTTGCCAGTGTATACTTACTTAGTTATCATGCTTTAAAAGGCTAGGATTAAAGAAAAACACAAAAATAATATAAGTCTGTGGATTTGGGCATAATGTAGGATTATAGCAAGTATAAATGGTTTATGTCTGTAGTTAGGATGAAGTTATACTTGTAGTTAACTAAGCAATTGTAGTCCAGTAAAATCTGTGAGAGTCGGAACTCGACAGGACTGCCTTATTTTCCTGATCTGTCAAGTTTTTCACCTCTGACAGAGTACAGTCTTAACACTTTTCTCTTGCGTGTTTTAGTGAAAAACACTTGAGTTTTCCGTCTCTGACAGGTTTCTGTCTTGCACAGGTTCTGTCTTTTGCTTTTTAGTTTTTACTGTAGTAATTGTTTCTGCCTGCTTCTTGTGATTCTCTTCTGATTTTGTTTTCTCTTTGTTTATAAGTTTAAATTTTTTTCTTTCATTTCTATCCTAACCATTCTGTCTTTGGCTCTGGTGACTGCTCTGGCTTTTCTCCTTTCCTCCTTTATCTGTTGTCCTCTTCCTGATTGTCTGTTCCATTGCCTTTTTCACAGTATCTTCTACCTGTTCACCCTCGTCTGTCTCCTTGGAATTTCCATTACTCTGCTGCCTTCATTTTTTTTTTTTAATTGTTTTATTGTGAATTATGTGATAGTTTATATGGGAGATCATTAGCTTTACATTCATCCTATCGTATATCGTTTCATTGCCATGGTTATAATCCCCTCCATGCATCATCAACCAACCAAAGTGTATGCCCTGAAAGACTGCCCCCTGGTTATCAGCACACAGCCCCTCTCCCTCTCTCTTTGAGTCTAGAGTCGCCAGCCACTCCATCTCTCCACGTCATCGTCTCTGTCTCCATCACTGGTGTCACTGTTTCTCTGGGTAGGGTCCCGTACTACGCTCTTCTCCCTTGATGGCCCCAGGGACCTCCTCTCCTTTTGCTACAAAACATCTACCTTTACATTTCCAACCCTCACAGTCAGTCCTGATAACAATTAATTCACTATTGTATCACAAGAGACCTAGCCTCATATCCTTTCATCAGCCACGCTCAGACAGATTGGATACTACTCAGTGGAGATTCTACCTTTCTCCATGCCTTCTGGATCTAGGCTCCCTCTTGAAAGCTTATAAGCCAGTCACTTCTTGCCTTTGTAGGCCACCCCCCCTCCCCCCCAGTGTCCAAGTTGCCCATCCTTGTCTACTCTGTGTATGGAGGGGGTGGGAATGATCCTCGCTATAAAGATTTGTTCCCTCTTTTGAGCTACTGCATCCATAGGTGTAGGTCAAGTTCATCAAATTGTATCCGATTACTCTTTTTTTTCCCTATTCTTTCTTTTCTTCTAGTTGTGCTCTGATCATCCAGCCATTGCAGCCAGGTCAAGTGGGTATTATCTGCAAGTGTGGGTGTTCTTATGCATATGCCCTCTCTTCTTATCTGCTGGACGCTTCACTCTCCACTCTAGTCCTCTGTGGCTATGTCACTGACTCTGGGTCCAAGAGTCCCCAGGTCTTGCCACACTGCTGGCCAACCAGGTCTCCTCCTGAGTTCACAGGAGTCTATTGAAAGTTGTAGGCCTTAGCTCGCAGCTTCATTGCTGTTTTTCCCTCACTTCCTCTTATGGGTGATGAATGTGGTCACCAATCAGAGCATGTATTCCCATTGAGTCTTAGTCTTGGAAGGGGGTTTGCCCCGTGGGGCAAACTTGCCTTGATGTCTTCTGGGCGAGCAACTTGCTTGTTCTTGTAGTAATCAGTTGGATTGTCTATATTGTTTTGTATTTTTCCAGGTGGTCTTTCTTTCAAGAAGTATTTTCTGTTCTTCTTGCTGCTCCAGGCTGGTCTGCTTGTCCTTTCAAGTGGAAATTTCTCACCTCAGAAGATTCTGGATGGGGTTCAGGATTACACTTATGATCTTATGTAATTAATGCAGAGGCGCCGCAGGAAGCCTCCTTCACTGGGCACGTTGTAGCCCCATTTTAGATATTATAATCAGTCATAGGCAGAAGATGGACTTACAAGCTTTCTATTGTGCTATTTCTGGCTATTCCTTTCTCTCCCCATCAAGTATCTATTTTATAATGGTATGCCAGGGAAACCAAGATTCAAAAGACAGTCAAGCATTTTAACATTATTTCCCTCCTTTTCCCCATTCCAACCATGTCTCAATTCCTGTATCCCAGAGCCCTATTGTTCCAAGTTTGTGCATACATCATTATTTACCTTTGTCCCACTTATCCCATGCAAACCTGCCTAATTGTTTATCCATCCGCTTTGTTCTTCCTGCCTTCATTTTTGTATCCCATGTCCTCTGGTGCTAGAGGATAAACACTTCACATCAGGGTCAGTTTGAACTACAAGGTTGGCAGTTCAAACCTACCAGTTGCTCTTTGGAAATCCTATACAGGGTTGCTATGAGTCTGAACTGACTCAGTGGCACTTAACGACAACAATCATTATGAAATGCCTCTCTTGTTCTGTGTTATTGTCATCATGTATTTTACTTTCATATGTTATAAACCCCAGAATACTTGTCAATATATTTTTTCAAGCAGGCAATTATGTTTTAAAAAAGATTTTAACATGTCTTTTGTATTAATCATTTCTGGCACTTGGAATTTCCTCATTCTAAGTAGAAAATTTTAAAGAAAGAGGCCATTCTTTATTCTTTATTGGTCAGCTGACTTTGTCTTACAGTACCTTCTTTCACATTCAGCATTGTTGTAACTATGTACTATCTCAGAACAGATTGGTTGGGTGTCTGAGACCCTTGATAGGTCAAGGGGAGGGTCCTATGAGTGTCATTAGTGAGGCTTGTTGTTAAGTGCCATCGAGATCTTGTTGTTGAGTTGGTTCTATATCATAGTTACCTCAGAAGCAACTGATAAGGAGTTCTGGTGTGGCGCTATGGAATAAAGCACTGGACCACACAGGCATTTGTACTAGAGTTCATTGTCAAGTGGGGTTAGCTCCTTTTCACATATAGACTGGTAAAGCCCTCTGGAACCTTGGCTCCTTCTGTTCATACATGGAGTATGCAGTGAAATGCTGAGCAGTAGGTGTTAAAGAAGGCTACAA